TATAGGAGTCGTGTTTCTTGTTGATGAGGTAGTTGTAAACATCGACGTGCTCACTGGCCACAGCAAAGGTGATCGGTGTCTTCCCTTCCACCGACTTGTCTTCGGGAGACGCACCTGCCTCTACTAGTAGTTTTACTACTTCCAGGTGGCCTGCACGAGCGCAGTAGTGGAGGGGCGTCAAACCGTCCTGTGAGCGAGACAGAAGGAGGAAGTTTTATTCCGAAGGGGTATGGTAGTTTTTGAAGATGAGGGAGGGATAAAATAAGCTGTATCTCAATGGGGAGATTAAATGATGTGTGCGTAATGTAGTGGGAGTAAGTGTGATATATATACCTCTTAGTTGTGGTGACGTGGGAGAACATACTATGGTGGTATGTTAGGAAAGTGTTGCATTGGTTATATTGCCGGGTCACCGGATGGAAAAGACCCGGTCCAGGACCCGTCCTGGTGAACCTACCCGACCTGTAAGATGCTTAGTTTTGACGCTGAGTCCTCTTTACTAATTTCCCTCTTGATGATGGTTTTAATTTTCTCAGAGTGAACCCACCTTTATCTGTAGTGGTTATTGTGGTGGTGACTGGAGAAAGTGGGTGCTTCAGTTTTCATGGAGTGTGGATGGAAGAGGATGCAGTTGCTAGAGAATGTGGAAGATTATGTAGCTGTGGATTTGAAAGAGACTGACTGTGTTTTTTTTACGAGAAGTAGGTGGAATTTTCCTCTTAACTATATCAGTCGTCTCCCACCAAGGTAAGGTGACCCAAACAGAGGAAACAGTAACTATCATTCCTTCAGTAGCTGTCTGGCCAGCAGTGCGCAGACATCACGATTCAAATGACCCTTTGAAATGTATCAGCCCAAGAGTGCAGGCACTGTACTTCACTCCTCCAGGACTCCAGTTAGGCTAACCAGTGTCCTTGAATGCCTTCATTAATGTTACCTTGCTCACACTTCAACAGCACACGTTAAATCCCTAAAATCACTTGCGCCACTCACCCCGGTCTAGTGCGCTCACATATGCCTGTTTTATGCTCCAGCCCCTACCACTTAATTAAAACCTCCTTTACACCCTCTGTCTGACACTTCCTGAGATGACCATTAATTCTTTCCTTCCACCTCGGATATCTATTTATATATATATATATATATATATATATATATATATATATATATATATATATATATATATATATATATATATATATATATATGTGTGTGTGTGTGTGTGTGTGTGTGTGTGTGTGTGTGTGTATGTATAGACCCACTTAATCATCCTATTCTGCTCAATAATCATTCTCACAGTAATGAAGATAAGACATAGGCTCAGACCAAGTTTGTTTTCATTACAATGGTTCGTTCTGTGTGAAGTTTTAGCCGTCTGTATTATGTTTTTGCACCTGCTCTCTCAGTAATTTTGCATCTAGCTCAACATTACGAAAATACTTACTCGATCCTTGGACCCTAGCTCGGCCCCTTGGCCCATGAGGAGGGCCACCAGGTGATAGTGACCGTGCATGGCAGCTAGATGAAGGCCAGTCCTGCCACGCTTGTCCATTTTGGCGACCTGACCAGGAAGAGACAAGTGAAACATGGATAAAAATTTTAATTTTATACCAGATTATCGACTAGTGTATACAAGCGTGTACGAATATACCAAATCTAAAATAAATACATTGAAATACTGAAGGAAATAGAGAGAGAGAGAGAGAGAGAGAGAGAGAGAGAGAGAGAGAGAGAGAGAGAGAGAGAGAGAGAGAGAGATATGGCAAGCACTGACCTGCTTCGTGGACTTAGAGAGGAGGAGACCGACAACTGAGGTATGGCCACCTATACACGCTAAGTGGAGTGGGATGTAGCCCTGTGGGAGGGACACAAGTCGTGGTGATAAAACTCTTCCAGAGGAAACTGTGGCACACGCAAACATCTGATTTTTTTTTTTGCCACATTGGCTGTGTTCCACAGGGATTGGTTGACCCAGAGAAGGAAAGAAATTCACCAACATTCACTCAGTAGTTGTCTTGCTAGAAGTGTGCGGACGTTGCAATTCAAATGACTCTGAACTGAAGCATCTTCACTCCCTTGGATTGCAAGCACTACTTTCCATCTCCAGTACTCAAATCTGCCTAGCAGGTTTCCTTGAATCCATGATTGCTACCTTGCTCACACTCCAACAGCATGTTAACTCACCCCCCCCCCTCCAAATCATAATTCTTTGAGGAAATACGTATAGGAAATCAGAAAAAAATGGAAAATGTATCTGCTGCATTTGACACTTACATTGAGTCTAGAGGTGACGTCAGGCTGCACCCCAGGGATGTTGAAGAGGATCCTGACCACGCCCTCGTTGCCTTCATGGGCGGCCAAGTGGAGGGGCGTGAGGTCGGCCTCTGCCCCCAGGTCCGGCAAAAAGGGTCGCCCACCGCTCAGGATGGGTGGCTCAGACTTGATGGTAGCAGGGATGTGTGAGAGAAGCTCCCGTACGATCTCTGGATGAACGAAGATAAACGGATCAAGTTTTCATATCCATGAGTGTTGTGAATCATCTTGGGATCTACAACACAGCAACTGTTGTGATTTAGGCGAATATATTTTTATTGGCTTGCCCAAGCAGGCAGGCCAATAAAGGAATAAAGAACACAGGAGAACAGAACTTGCAGCGGTCTCTGCTACCATGACCCTCCATAGTGTCATCGTCTAATTCTTTTTTCATGTGTTCTTAGTTTCCCTAAACTGGTCATCCAAAGACAAAGACATATCAGTATTTGCTCTTGTTGAATAAACTAACAAGAGGACTGTAATAGGCCTACTGGCTCATGCTAGGCAGATCCCACCAACACCATTCCCTCTAATGTATTTTCTAACCTACTTTTAATGCTATCTAAATAGTTTATCCCATCCATCTACAACTTTACTGGCAAATCAGTGCTCTTTTATGTGTGTTCTAAACCTCAGAGTTATTGCATGTACTTCTTTTCGAGTTTTTATGATGGTAATTTACTAATAATAGTAAATACTGGAACGAACACCTTGAAGCTGATGAAGTCATAGTGGAATTCTTGACGATATCTTCATCACTTAGTCATCCAGCTGAAAGATTTCATTACATCATGTGTGAAATCTTTCGTAAATAGTACAGTATACGACAGGAAAACATGACAAGCTTTTGTTTATTGAGAATCGAGAAGTCGCACATAGCTGATGTACCTAATACTGTTGACATAAAGGGGTCACTTTCTCTTGTTGACTTTTGGTTCATGATTCCGTCACTACAGTCTTTTTATTTACACAACTACTTGAAAAAAAAATCATGCCTTGCCTCGACGTGTCCATTACCACAGCTGACCTGTCTGGCCGTAGTGGGCAGCGACGTGAAGAGCGTAGAGACCCAGCTTCTTGCTGGTGATCCTCAGGCTGGTGACTTCTCTTAGTGTGTCCAGCACCTGGATGTGGCCATACCTGGCTGCCAGATGAACAGCAGTGAACCCTACCTGTAAACAAATCCCATAAGTATTGTACTAACATCGTTCCACAACACAAATATTACATCAGTGCTCTTGGATACTGACTGTCAGTACACACAAATATTATATCATTATCGTTCCATAATTGTCAACAAACGCTAAATAAATCATACTTGCGAATAGACGAAACAAATATAAGCACTAACATTGATTCCCATGTGGAAAATATTACTTAGCAAAGTATACTAACATAACCTACATCAGTTATTACATTGCCTCTTTCGTGAATAAACATTACGAACGTACTCCGTTCTCGGCCTTAGGCGAGGCGCCGTTTTCGATGAGGAACTTGACAAGGTTGGCGTGACCTCCCTCAGCAGCCAGGTGTAAGGTAGTAGACTCCCCGACACGGTTCTTGCCGTTGATGACAACGCCTCTGTTGTGTCGCATAAGTTCTCTCACCACGTCGACAGACCCCTGCAGCGCTGCGATGTGGGCGCACGTGTTACCATCCTGGTGGTGGAGAAGGTGGTAGCGAGGGCAGTAATTGAAATAGCGGAAGAGACGATGGTAAATATAATAACAGAGAAGAACGGAGGGTTGAGGAGCATCTTTAGTGGCAATACAGGGATAGCCTGGTGGCTAACACTCTCGCTTCACACGGCGAGGGCCTGGGTTCGATTCCCAGCCGGAGTAGAAACATTGGACGTGTTTCTTTCCACCTGTTGTCTATGTTCCCCATCAGTAAAATGGGTACCTGGGTGTTAGTCGACTGGTGTGGGTCGCATCCTGGGACACTGACCTAATTTGCCCGAAATGAGGAGCATAACAAGGGAGTTTCTATATAGTAGAATGTCATTTTTGTCAGCTAGGACTATATACCTTGTACATGTACTTGTAGTAAATAAAGATATTATTATTATTATTATTATTATTATTATTATTATTATATTCTTGAGAGTTGCATATTTACGCCACGATGATTATACCAACAGGATTTCTATACTTCCCGAGTAAGGTTATAAAGACAGTGTTGATAAATAACTAATATGTAATGAACTCTTGTAATCTGTTGAAGAGGATCCCAGAAGGGGGTCGAAATATACAGATCAATCAATCTCCTAAGTTTCTGTCCCCATGTGGGTTATTATTGAGCACAATGTTGATAAATGAGACTCTTGCGTTACATTTGGATATTTTTATTCTGGAAACGTTTCGCCAGTCAGTAACTTCTTCAGTCCAAAAGAAATATTTCCAGAATAGATACCCAAATGTTGCACAAGTGTCTCATTTATCAACCTGTCGGTTTTATAAACCATTTATCCAAACGAATAAAGACATTTCGCTCAAGGTAGAACTGTATTTAAAAAGTCATTTCTAATACGTGGGCTAGTCGTGGATTTAAAATCAAATGTTTTAATTATAAGTATATTAAATCTATAGTGGTGGTAGTTGTAGCATTTGGTTTGTCGTGGAAAAATGTGAAACTTTCGCCTGATTCGGATCTTAGTTATAAAATGAACCTGTGGAATTAATCTTTGGGTCATTTTACCAAGGCTTTCCGCTGGCTTTCCTCTCCGCCCTATAACAAATGAAGATCACATCATAAGGTAGTATATGTAGTCAATAGACAAAAGAAAGTGTCATCACATGTCAGTGTTCTTATGTATTATTGTGTTAATGTATGCTAGGTATATCGCTCTTTTGAAAGGGATGAAAGCTTAGTTCTGGCAGGACAACGGATGCTTAACCAGTCGGAAGACGCTTGTTTTTCCTGACGACTAAATCACCGCCACAACCTCCACCCCATGACACCACGAAGTGCAATAATCTCGCACCTTATCTGCTGTAGTGACCAACTCTGGTGAGGTCTTGAGGAAGAGTTTCACTACTTCAGAGTTGTTGCGCATAGCGGCAACGTGAACGGCCTTCTGCCCTGCGTCAGTAGTAGCGTTGTAGTCGGCCCCGAGCTGCAGCAGTGTGTCGCACACTTCTAGCTGGTTCTCCTCTGCTGCCAGGTGCAGCGGCGTCTGTTTCGTCTGTAGTAACATCAAGATGATGAGTCCAAGGGTAAAAGAGGTCACAATAATATGGCAGAAACATTTCACAACTTTTCCAACAACCGGGAATGAAAAATCGACGAAATTTCGGTTATTAGTGAACCATTATAATACTCAAGGCTGGTAACTGCAATTACTAATATCTGTCAATTAAAATCTTCATAAATTTTTCATCTGGGTTCTGAAGTTGAAGTGAAACAATCAGAGGAATCAGAAAATAACAAAAGTGGTGACAACATTATGATAAAAGCATTAAGAATTCAAGAGGAGAATAATAAGAGAAGATTATTATTATTATTATTATTATTATGGGCCATAATAATTCATGTTGAAAGCTAAACCCATGTTGGTTATTAAGGTAAATACTAAGGCATTAATTTTTATCTGAAGCCCTAAACCCTTTTGGTCCCTCAGTCCAATGAATAATGGGGGTGTCATCCTCCGTCTTCCAAGAGCGAGTCAGGGAGCCTCTCGGAAGGAATATAGACTCACCAAGGTGAGGGATTTTCCAGGGCAAGGGGTTTCTTTCTGGGCATAGACTCACCAGGGTGAGGGCTTCCTTCTGGGCGTGGTGTCTGGTAATGAGGGCTCGCACTAGATCGTTGCACCCCTTCATGGCTGCTAGGTGAAGCGCCGTCAAGCCGGACATACTTCGAGCGTTGACGAAAGCCTTATGTGTCAACAGAGCGTCGCACACCTGAGGAAGGGAGACCATGGAAGATGATGTCGAAGTGCCATATTCATCAGGTCTCTATCCCAGCATTCACCATCTCTCTATACCGGCATTCACCACACCAGCATCCATGGGACTCACCAACTTGTAGCCGCGTTCAGCGGCCAGGTGAAGAGCGGCCTTGCCTTCGCTGTCGAACACGTCCACTCTGGCGTGGTGGTCGAGCAACGTAGAGACGATCCCTTCGTGACCGTTCTCGGCAGCGTTCAACAGCGGCGACCAACCTTTGGATGACTGCATGTTCACTAGCTTCTGAACCTGTTGAGGGGAAGTAAACGTCTGAATGACTAAAGATTCTGGTCTTGTTATAGAAAAGCTGGCAATTGATTGGAAATATTAAGACCAAAAAAATGTTTATACACTTTACACGAAAACATGAAGAGAGAGACATTTTTACGAATTTATGGAGAAAAGTCAGATTTTTGAGGAAGCTTTTGCAGCATTAGGCTCAAATGTCAAAATTACTTAAATATATTTTATGCAGCACTCTAGCTCACATTCCGGCAAAGAAAATACTGAAAAAATTATGAAGAGGTTAGTAACTCTAAATAAGAAACAATGAGAACATCATGACGGCTCAAAACATGGTGTTAGTTTCCTCTTATTTTTTTTTTTTAACTTTTCTCCAGGATATTGAATTCTGTACCACTGCCTTGTACTAACATTGTCCTGTGGTACTAATCTTGTCCAGTGGTACTAACCTTGACTTGTGGTACTAACTTTCCCCTGTGGTACTAACCTTGCCTTGTAGTACTAACCTTCCCCTATGCCATAGTTACCTTACCCTGTGTTACTAAACTTATCCTGTGCTACTAACCTTCCCCAGTGGTACTAACCTTATCCTGGGCAGCGAACTGAAGCATCTCGTCCAGGACAGCCTCGTTCCCCGACGTAGCCACGTAGTGGATCGGCGTCTCAGACGTCTGTAACGGAGCAAAACCTGTTTTAGTCCTGTTTCAAGATTTCTGTAAAAATTGAGTTAGCAAGTTTAATTTGTCCAGGTGCTGGAGCTTTCTCTCCTTTCTTAATTCATATATTATGGGTTCCTAACTCTACATGCACTGCAGTATGACCCTGATATAAGATAAATAGAAGTGGAAAATAATTTGGATTGGGCTAAGTGGTAGTAGGTTAAATCATTTTTTTTTTAAAGAGTTGAAGTTTTTTGGATTTATTTAAATGCAAATACAATATTCATTGAATTTATTCTTAAGAATGTAGAATTGGAAGTAAGTTTAAAGCACAGCAAAATGTAACTATGAACTTTTTATATATATTATCTCTCTCTATAAATGTACGTACTGACGTGTTAAATTTTCTTTAGGAAGTCAATGACATTACTATCTAATGCAATTCCCAATATAAACATTTTTAAGTTAATTAAATCACGAGCAGAGAGCTTAGCATTCATCTGGGTATGGTATGGCAAAGGGTAACCCTTTGTCACTACTTATTTCATTGTTCTCCTTTCAGTTCACTCTCATGATCTTTGCACACAATTCATCAATTGTTACCTTATTTACGTTATACATATGCTGCTTTTACGGTATCGTGACCAATCAGACTAATTCGACGTACCTAACTGAATAACGTAAAGAAATTCCTGTTAAGTATGAGTGTGGAAAGCTATTACCTTGAAGGCGAGGTTCTGGTACCATGCTCTTCTGACATGTAATCCACGAGAATTGAACACATGTTAGCACTACGAATGCTGACAGTCTCCTGATAATGGTGACTGGTTATAGAGGTGTGTGTGTGTGTGTGTATGCTAGGTGTATGAGTATGCATGTGTGTGTGTGAGTGTGTATGCTAGGTGTATGAGTATGCATGTGTGTGTGTGTGTGTGTGTGTGTGTGTTTAAGGGCGTGTATTGATTCTGACATACATTTTGAGAAGATTATTGTGCCTGGCAATATAGGACCTCACAACATGTGTATAAACTAATTACAGAACTCAATCTTCAGGGCGTAATATTTCTTGAACCCAGCGTAAATAATTACATCTTTTCCAGCAAAAAATGTTTGCTCGTTGCTTTTCATTACAGAAAATCATGAGTCTCTTGAGACTTGATCAAGCGGGCACCAAGAGGTACTTACTTGAACATAATTTTAGTGATAATGGAATTATGCAGAGGGGAGGGTCAAACCAGACTGTGTTATTAGGGGTTATCTCACTTCCAGCTGAAGAGTGAGCAGAGGATCGAGCCTCCATCACTTCCTCAAACGAATGATCCATCAGAGTCCTTCTCAAAAAAAAAAATCGTAGAAGGTTATTTAGCTAACAATGGAAGCAACCTGAGTTTGGTTTTCCTGGGCGAGACGGGACTCAAATGCGAGTGTCTACTGCTAATGTTAACTTAGCTGTAAACAGATACCTAGGAATTAGTTGACTGCTTTGGGTCACATCCTGTTGGAAGAGGATCAAAGGACCCCAAAAGAAATAGGCCACACAGTTGACTTTTGTCTAGATTATCCTTGGCTTTTGACTCGCTGACAATACGAAGTACATCTTCAAAGTGAAAACAAGTGAGAGATTTTGACGCAGGAGGAGATGATACCACGAACATCCGCAAGGAAACTCATTCGGAATATTTTTACATGACTCGAAGAATATTAGAAATGTCACGAGAAACATCTTTGTTGTTTAAGGAGTCAGTTACCTTGCTGGTAGCGACCATGAGATGAGCGCCGTTGGTGAGCAGGAGGTTGGCCATTTCCCGGTCTTCACCGGCCTTGTACGTAGCGTTCTTCTTGTTGACTCGGCCAGCGTAGTGCAGCGCCGTCTCTCCCAGGTTATTCTGCAGCAGAATCGCGTTTAGTGATGAAGTTTCGGAAAGCCTTAATAAAGTTATTTTTAAGGAGGGGGGGGGGGAGGGAAGCGAGAGGCACACAACTGCACAAATGACCTGATCTTGGAATAATTTGCCAAAACCAAGTCGCCCATCAGGAATATAGCCTCATCATGCAGGATATCCACTTTACAGAAAACCCAATTAACAAAGAACCCACTTTGCCATGCACAGTTTCGAAGACGCCCACCTTCCAGAGGATACACATTACATTAAAGTCACTTCAATAAAAAATACTTCACAGTGGTACACTCACAATCTCTGAGACTTACTTTAGAATTGACCATTTTAGCGACGGCGTCCTTGCCACTCTTCTTGAGGACGTGATCGATCAACATCTTAGCGGCCTCAACTCTACAAGACGAGCAAGCTAAATGCAACGGTGTCTCTCCAGTCTGGTGGTGGTGGTAATGGCAAGATTAACACATAGATCTTCAGCTAGAATATTATAATATTCTCCTGTAAAAGAGCAAGTTAAATATTATGGACGGAATTCAGTTGGGTACTTCCTTTGTGAGCTCCAGGATGGCCTTAAAAATAAATTAAACACTCGTATGTTTAAAAACAAAAAATCGGAATTGTCAAACTTTGCCTACATTTCTTTTTTTTTTTTTTTGACGGCTACCCAAAGGCTCACAAAAATATTCCCATGAGAAGCATCGTACCTAACAAGATAATTCTCTTATAAACAGCTAAATGATTTAGTAATTAACTTTCAACGCTTTTTTTGGGTGGGGGGGGGGAGTAAATTCTTGAGTACACATATCTATTTGCAAGATTTCATCGACAAAATAAAACACAACGCAATTCAAAAGACTTGTCCAGCTCGTACAAAAGAAAAAAGTCAGGCAAGAGCCAATACTAGTTACTATAGAATCAGTGGAAAGATGAAAGCAGCGTGAGAGATTCTATTGTTAACCTGTTTATTCCTTACGGAAAAAATGTGCAATAATATGTAAGATACATACAATAAAACTGTAGCTAATTATACAAACTCAACAGGTAATGGTCGCTAAAAATAATTAATCATGCATACGACATGAAAGGTGAAAAGTAATTTATTAGAGTAGCTGAGCACACAAGATCCGTCATGTATACACAGTACAATTCAACAATTTCTCAGCTGTACAAGAACCATAAATATAGTACAAAGTGGATCCATAAGCACAAATCCTTAAATGGTCTATGAGTGTTTCACGACCTTTTTTTTTTTTTTACACCGGTTTTGACAAGGTTAGGTTAAGTATCTCTCAAAATCGATCAGGTCAACAACCGTTGGTGTAGACTGTGCCCGGACCGAGGGGAAGGTTGCCCTAGAAACCTGCTACAGGTAACCTAATATATATATATATATATATATATATATATATATATATATATATATTATTATATATATATTATATATATATATATATATATATATATATATATATATATATATATATAATATATAATATATATATATAACTACCCTTAACCTGTAGTCACATCGTCCTGTACTTAATTTGGGTACTCCACTTGACCTAGTTGTTGAACCTGGATAACATCATATGACTTACGTATACTAACGTGTGCCAACTGCCTAACAAGGCAGGCAAAATTGCAACCCTGGAGAATATACAGAGAACTTTCACTGCAAGTATAAGTACAATAAAACACCTCAATTGCTGGGAACGGTTCAAGTCCCTTGAACTGCACTCCTTGGAACGAAATTTTCCCTGAACACTTTTCAGTTTAGACAAAAATGCACACAGACAACGCTCCTTAACCCAAGAGAGCTAGAAAGGCACACCTTAGACTGAAGGAAAGGCTTGGCACTATCGTCCTCAAGAAGCAGCTGGAGAGTCTTCAGGTTGCCGTGGTAGGCAGCAAGATGGAGCGGCGTCTGACCGTCGTCTTTGGGAAGGTTAGCGTCGGCGCCGGACTTGAGGAGCATCTCTGCACACTTCTCCCCATCTTTGACCTTGGCAGCCAGATGAAGAGCAGACTCCCTGCCAGAACCACCTGCGTGAGATGGAGATGCCTCAGCATCACAGGTCTCTTGGCTGAAAAGTATAGAGTTTCTAGCTACAAGGAAAAGTGAGGATCGAATCTCGACCCTGCCTGGAGCTTCATAACATATATAATGTAGTTTATTATGGGTGAAAATTCGGCCTACCGTCCTGAGCCTTCAGGAGCGCACCACCACCTTCAAGACTGACAGGTACTGACCTTGCATGGTAAGGTCGGCACCGTGGCCCAGAAGAGCTTCAACCATTGCAGGTTTCCCAGCATTGACAGCTATGTGCAGGGCTGAATAGCCATCCTGAGGGGGCAGAAGGAAAAGGATAAGTGTAGAGGGAGGGGGAAAGGAGGGAGGAGGGAGAGGTAAGAGGGGTGGAAGGATAGATAAGAAGTATGGAGGAATGGGTGAGAGGTGTGAAGGGAGGGATGAGCAGTAAAGGTAGGAGTGAGAAAGGGCGTAGCTAGATCTGAAAGGTGTCTGAGAAGGGGTGAAGGGTGTGCAAGAAATTTGAGATGTGGAGGAAGATTTAATGAGTGGGGGAAGGGAAATATATATAGGAGGAGGAGTGTGAAGTTTGGAGAAAGAAATGAGACGTGTGGAGGGAGGAGTGAGAGAAGCGGAGGAGTAATGAGAGTAAACATGTATTAAAGACTTTCTTGCTTAAATACTAACCGAACACAAGAATGACAAGAAACAGTAGACAGACACAGAAGATAACTATAAAACAACACTTAAAAACCCTCTTAGAATATTACTATATAATAGCCATTTGCTTATTAAATCAGATATGGAACCTGGCTCTAACAAGCCAGGTGATGCTCCCCCTCTTCACAATATACTGATACAGACCTTAATCAGATGACGACCCTCACTAGCCGGTTAGGGGTCATCACCTGATGATGACCCGTATCAGGAGAGAGACACTTCTCTTTCCTGACAGAACACACTACCAGAACTCGAATAATAATTAACCTCATTCTTACGTGATCTTGATAGGTATCTTACGTGCTGAAAATAAGAGGCATCACAGTACTAGATGCTATAGACTGCGGGTAGAGTAGTGAAATTTGTCTTAGTGTACGGCCTTAGTTTTTATTTTGGAATGAGAGAGAAAAGTTGGGTCTCACGTTGGTAGTTACGTCGACGTGTTCACCCTTGTGAAGGATTGCGTTGACCACACCCACATGACCTCGCTGGGCTGCTGTATGTATGCACCTGGCGCCGCTTCTGTTTGGCATATGTAGCGGCACACCTGTAAGGGACCACAACACCTAGGTGTTAGGAAAACACAGGTGTAATAACATTATTTAGGTGCTGAGCTGGTGCAACTGAAAACTTAAATTATATTACTGACTGTCTCGCCTTCCAACATAACAAGGAACAGCACTGATAAATAGAGTTTATCGCTATTAATGATAAACTAATGTAACTACATAAAGGTAATCACCTGAGAGTGCTCTGTTCACTAATTTTCACTAAGTACATACTTAGTACATATTAGTATAATCGCTAGGAAAACGAATTAATCATGAATGTCTGTTAGTATAGACAAAACTTAGCATTAATTATAGAAATGACTTAAGATTTAACCAAGTATTCACCTCTCTCTCTCTCTCTCTCTCTCTCTCTCTCTCTCTCTCTCTCTCTCTCTCTCTCTCTCTCTCTCTCTCTCTCTCTCTCTTTCTCTCTCTTCTCTCTCTCTCTCTCTCTCTCTCTCTCTCTCTCTCTCTCTCTCTCTCTCTCTCTCTCTTTCTCTCTTTTTTCTCTCTCTTTCTCTCTCTTTCTCTCTCTCTCTCTCTCTTTCTCTCTCCTCTCTCTCTCTCTCTCTCTCTCTCTCTCTCTCTCTCTCTCTCTCTCTCTCTCTCTCTCTCTCTCTCTCTCTCTCTCTCCCTCCCTCTCTCTCCCAATCACCCACCTTTTCTGAGGAAGGCCATAACAGTGTCTGGGTGTCCGTGCAGGCTGGCTATGTGTACTAGAGTTGAGCCGTCCTTAGTACGGTCCATTACGGAGGCCTTGTATTTCTCCGCCAGCAGGTCGACGACGGGCGTAAAGCCGTTCTCAGCCGCTACGTGGATGGGCGTGCGGTCTGTGGTCGGGGGGAAGAGGGTGAAGGGGTAAGGAGACCGAGGTAGAGTTAGTGGGCGTGGAGGAGTGACTTTAGGGAAGAGGGAGAAGGCCGTACATATGTAAGAAAGCAAGTAAATGTACGGTAGATTATTATTATTATTATTATTATTATTATTATTATTATTATTATTATTATTATTATTATTATTATTAATTATTGATAAATCAAGTATAATGAACACTTGTCAATGCTCAATAATAATTCAAAGGGAAATATACACTCAGAAATTTAATTGATATGTATATTTCGATCTCTTTCTGGGATCCTCTTCAGCAGAAGAGGATCCCAAAAGGGGATCGAAATATACAGATCATATATATATTTGTGTGTGTGTGTGTTTACTCTCCTGCTTATATTTGCAAGGGTTGAACTTCAGCTTCCGGTCCTGCCTCGCAAGCTATGAAGAAGGTTGAAGCCATATACTGAGTCTATCTCCGCTTCCTCTGTCCCTGGCTAGTACCACTCCCTCGCTAAACTGAAAACACTGTTCACAATGTCACTCAAGCTTATTTGATCATTTAAGTACCGTTTGTGATCCCCGTTCTGCTTCGCGTATTTAAAAATACATTCTATACTGGCAATGACTATGAGTATCTTTCACGATGTGACCGTATCTCTCCTGTTTTCCAGGTCCTCAAACGCTTCTAATGTCGAAAACTTCAGTTTATGCAGCCATTCCTAGTAATTCGTAATTCGTGGATACTTGTACTTGTATCCCTAGGAATTCAGTGATATATTTCCATTTTTTTTTTTTTTTTAAGAAGCAGCGAATTCTTGTAGGTCATCCAAAGGTGTGACACAGGTTTGATCCTCCGTCCGATTACAGTGACAAGCAATTAAGAAATGAGCAAAAATGTTCACTACTCCTGAGGAACATATCAGTACTTTTTAATCAAGTGTTTCAAGCTGAAGGACTGAAGCGTTCGTCATAAGCCTGGGTAAAATTTCTCTCGTATTACAAATGCGTCAACATTCATGTAACATTCAGGATGCAGTGAGCGAACGTTAATTATTTTTAGCGAGAAACATTTGTGTAATGGGTGATGAAGTGGAATGATATCTTGTGGAATGACTGGAAAAAGTAGGATGTGAGAGAATGATGTGTGAACGTCGAGTCTGTAGCGCGATGTTGTGTTGGAAATATGTTAAGAATGTTGTTTAGGTGTGAAGAATAAATATTAAATAATGTGGCTTGAGTACCTGTTGACGCTTCATAGATCATGGATACCAGTGTCAGGCGCTTCCAACAATGATTGACTGGTTTGTGTAGAGCGTTTTTATTGCTTGCCAGTTTTATCTTTGTTTTTATTGCGTGTATCGTGTGCGTGTATATATATATATATATATATATATATATATATATATATATATATATATATATATATATATATATATATATATATATATATATTGTAACCACGGACGAGTGATATTGATCAATAACTACACAGCGGTAGCCAAGGATTCGAACCCATGTTGTACTGGGCCACCATTGTGAGCGAGAACCACATGACGCCTTAACCCACAGGACCACACAATCCTACAAGAACCAAGCACCCAGCCATGCTAGGCGTGTTACTCTTGGTCCGAGGACATACAGTAGTGTGGGAGCTTCCATACTGATTTCATTCTCATCTCTGTTTGGTATACTAGCCTACGAACGTCATAGGATCTCGTTCACAATGGCGGGCCAGTACAACATTGGCTCGAATCCTTGTCTAGCGCAGTGTTGTTATATATATATATATATATATATATATATATATATATATATATATATATATATATATATATATATATATATATATATAAAGTGCTGTTACGGTAATTGTTACTGATTCTCGAATTAATGACACTTAACAAATGATAATAATTATTTGTTATATAGGTTTTTATAATCCTGAAGAAGCGCTAAATCTGTAGGAGTCATACAGAGCTCGAGGGAGTAGGAAGAAATCAGATTTGATCCTCGGACGGGGAAGTTTGATCAAACTCCTTCGATCAAGAGCACCAAGAGAATATAATCACATATAGTCTTCACCAGTGGTGTCTGGAAGAGCGTTAAGCCCTTAATTAAGAGCCATACAGCGCCTTTGGAAGGATGGAATGGAAAGCATTCTGATTCGATCTTTGGAAAGGGATGGCAGGTTCAATTCCTCTGACGGTGAGTTCCTCAGAGGCATGAAGGCATCACCCCAGAGGGAATTTGTTCAGAATTACCTGGTTAAGGTATCGCATATCCTTTATGAATTCAACCAGGCAATTACAAGCATGTGCCCGAAGTTGCTTACCGAACTTGTCCATGATGTTGGGGTTGGCGTGGACGGTATAGAAGAACTTGACGGTGGTTTCGTCTCCTTCCTCTGCAGCGATGTGTAGAGGAGTCTGTCCGGCTGCCTGCAACACGGCCATGCAAGGTGACCAGTGGTGTTGTTATTAGCATTTATTTAGAGCCAAAAGAGTACTAATCGGAAGAAAGTTTTACTTCTAACAATATTAGGTATATTAACAATGCGCGACTATCCTAGCCTGTATTGCATTATAAAGAAATTGGCAATTAAGAAATTTGCTAGCCTGAGCTGTAAGAATTAAGCAGCTGGATGAGAATATCAGCAAATACTGTGTACTTCGAAACTACACCGAGGCCTTCTTCAGCAAATTATACAATATACAAATGCTGAAATTATATACAAATGCAGGTTATTTAATCTAAACCAGGTATTTAGATCCTTGTTTGTTTTTTATAGATGAAAATCCAGACTTCGGTAGACCATTGGATAACCAGGTAACGAATGATCATCTATCAAAGACACGTGTCAGAATATACTTTCCTGTTATCGGACGAACTCTGCGTTACATTACCAATTGGTTGTATAAACATCATGATGGTAATATAAAATATACAAGGCAGAATGTGAAGTGATCGCTTCAAGGACGTCAAATTATGAGTATTCACGTCAGGCGATATATATCGTTCAGTAATGTCGTATAATCAGGATATATGAAAGGTGATAACAGAGCAAATATAGTGAGAAAATGGAATTAAAGATGGTTTATGCTTCTGTTTACTACCGATACTCACCCTGACATAGTTTCGTGTACATAGCACTTGACTTCAGTGTAGGGTCAACATGGTTTAAAATGTCATCAAATACTCGGTATTGATGGTGGAAGTGTGTGATGAGAGGTTTCTTTGAAGAGGGGAAGATATGTATTTTATTAGTAGAAAGACCTCGTGACGTTGGTCTTAGTTATATGAAGACCCTCTGGCTTACCTGTTCACCTAATTACAACACAGTTAATATCACATCACGAGACGTAAGCCAGTCTAATTTAATGTGGAAAAAATAATGCGATTATATACGCCGTAACATTAAATGCGTTAGTGTGTTCGTGTACCTGCTTATTTGAACGTTAATAAAAATTTTACGTAGTGTAACATTTTCATAACACTGCGATTTTTTTTATTTTTAAATCTCATTAATGAAGACAACGTCTTTTGTTTACATTGGTTTTTCATGCGTTTTGTTCAGTTTTGTTTTCTTTTGCATGTTCCTGAAATGTCGCTTTATTTTTCTTTCCACGTAGTATATTAGCCCTAAAACGCTGGACAGCTGACACGTTTTCATAGTGTCTTTGTAATGAATATAAATTCCTTGGTGACATGGAGGTGGGGGTGACGTGAGACACTTGGGCGAAGTAACGATGGAGGCGGCCAGTAATTGAATGATGGCTGACTATGTGACAATCTCGTTTATGGTTTTTTTTTTCGTATGGATTGGTTAATTAAGTGCCGCAGGTAATATCTGTTTTACATCCACATTCATACCCCCCCCCACACACACACATCCACACATGCATCCACACACATGCACACACATCCACACACACATCCACACATGCATCCAAACACACAGCGACACACACACACATATGCATCCAAACACACAGCGACACACACACACACACACACACACATCCACACACACACACACACACACACACACACACACACACATCCACACACACACACACACACACACACACACACACCACACACACCACACACACACACACACACACACACACATCCACACACACACACACACACACACACACACACACACACACACACACACACACACACACACACACAGTCAGAGTGGGCACCTGTGACCAGCGGGGTCCCGCAGGGGTCAGTCCTAGGACCAGTGCTGTTTCTGGTATTTGTGAACGACATGACGGAAGGAATAGACTCTGAGGTGTCCCTGTTTGCAGATGACGTGAAGTTGATGAGAAGAATACACTCGATCGAAGACCAGGCAGAACTACAAAGGGATCTGGACAGGCTGCAGACCTGGTCCAGCAATTGGCTCCTGGAGTTCAATCCCACCAAGTGCAAAGTCATGAAGATTGGGGAAGGGCAAAGAAGGCCGCAGACGGAGTACAGTCTAGGGGGTCAGAGACTACAAACCTCACTCAAGGAAAAAGATCTTGGGGTGAGTATAACACCAGGCACATCTCCTGAAGCGCACATCAACCAAATAACTGCTGCAGCATATGGGCGCCTAGCAAACCTCAGAACAGCATTCCGACATCTTAATAAGGAATCATTCAGGACCCTGTACACCGTGTATGTTAGGCCCATATTGGAGTATGCGGCACCAGTTTGGAACCCACACCTAGCCAAGCACGTGAAGAAACTAGAGAAAGTGCAAAGGTTTGCAACAAGACTAGTCCCAGAGCTAAGAGGTATGTCCTACGAGGAGAGGTTAAGGGAAATCAACCTGACGACACTGGAGGACAGGAGAGATAGGGGGGACATGATAACGACATACAAAATACTGAGAGGAATTGACAAGGTGGACAAAGACAGGATGTTCCAGAGATTGGACACAGTAACAAGGGGACACAGTTGGAATTTGAAGACACAGATGAATCACAGGGATGTTAGGAAGTATTTCTTCAGCCACAGAGTAGTCAGGAAGTGGAATAATTTGGGAAGCGATGTAGTGGAGGAAGGATCCATACATAGCTTTAAGCAGAGGTACGATAAAGCTCATGGTTCAGGGAGAGTGACCTAGTAGCGACCAGTGAAGAGGCGTGGCCAGGAGCTTGGACTCGACCCCTGCAACCTCAACTAGGTGAGTACATCCACAAACACGCGCCAGCTCCTTGGACAGATGGTACCTATCACATGAAGGTATAAAGTGGACTGTTATTATTCGCATAGAGAAGAAGACTCAATAAATACAAGTGTTATCCTTGGTTATGACCTCTTGAGTTAATACGAAGAGAGATGGTATTTCTCCTCCCTGCTAAGATAAGCTACCGATGAGCCCTTCCTACTGATAAAGAGCCGGCCTCATCTGGTGGGTACGTCCGTTCGTGTGCGTACGTGGGGAGAAGTAAACCAAGAACCATATCGGAGTAATTAGTATCTTTATTGTTAAGCTTTTTTCAAATTGCCCAATAAGGGTGAGGAGGGCGTGGTCAGTAAGGGGAGTCAAAAGTGTAATATCTAGTTCCCATTATCGAGGTCAACGATAAGTTAATGACTGTGGGTGTTAGTCTATGCTGATGCATGAAGGTTAAATATCTGTTATAATTCAGTTATTTGTTCAGTAGTAACTAATTACATATCTGTGTGTGAATAACGTGGTGAACGGAAAATTACATTAGCTTAGGCTAGAAAAGTTTTCTATTCTTGAATATTCATAGAAAATAATATTTGTATTTTTTGCAGGTTTAACTTCTCTAAAGTTGATTTATAATATAAGGTGTTAGCTGTCGTGATTCGCTTGTACAATGACAATGATTCAGTCAACTAAATTGTTCCTAAGTCACCTTTACATTGTAAAATGCACGCACGCACACAGACAGGAGCTGTGAATCGACCCCCTGCAATCTCACGTAGGTGAGTAATGTCAGCAGGCGCCATGGTCTGCGACATCAATCAGCTACATGTTTTGTTTTGCTTTTTGTAACTCTGCTCCCCGCTACATCTATAACTACAGCTGGTGATGGTAGGGAAGGTAGCTATAAGAATATAGCTGTTAATTTTGCAGACTGTGGCACTTGCTAAAATTACCAAATGTTGGCAAAGTGCAGGAGTAACACATGCGTAGCCTCGAATACAGAATGGGGAGTGTCGTAGTCATGTGCGCAACTTTTCAGTAAATTAATAGAACTATAACAGCATCTTCAAAAACAAGCATAGAGTAAGGATATGAAATCTTGGGTTTTATTTCAGGTGAGGTCAGAAAAAGTGGTGGTGGTGGCATGCTGGGGGAGTGAACACGCAAGCCATGAGATTTTTTTAATTGTGATGAGAGACTTGAGGGTTAGAAGGTGGACAGTCGACAAGGGATGAGATGTATGTTACTGTAGCAGATAGCTAGTTTTCTCTCTCTCTCTCTCCCCAATGGAAATAAATCACTCTGACTTTTTTGGGTCATCCCCGGTTCTCTCCACATATGCTGCTATGTATGATAATCTATGCATTTGTATTTGTGTATACCTGAATAAACTTACCCTCCCTCTCTCTCTCTCTCTTTCCTTCTTCCTCTTTCCTCTGACGTACATAAGTAATCCGTGCTGCTAAAATACTGTGTTGTAGTCACGGAAGGTTAATTATACTACACTCGTGAGTGGCAGGCAAGCCCAGCTGTAAGAGTGCTTTACTTAGCCATTAAAGGTAATCACTAACATGGTATCTACTTAACCGCATAATCTGCTGCTCTTCCGTTGATTTATTCTCGTGATATTGAAACAGACATCGTAAGGGATAGTGAAAATAATGATAATTATAATAAAAATGAATATAATAAAAATTATGAGACATTTGTGCAACGCTTGGATATCTTTATATATATATATATATATATTATATATATATATATATATATATATATATATATATATATATATATATATATATATATATACACAATTTAATAAAAATTATGAAGATAACAATTTTGATAGTGGTGATAACAATGTTGCATTAGTAGAAATATGTAGGATCAGTGGTAATTTCAGTGGTCACAATTCAATCCTGCAAAAAAAGAAAACTATATTCCACAGGTATATTTCACTTTATAAATTATCTGAATAATCTGACTCCAAGAACACCTCTAGACATGGAATTTTACTGCTTAAAATTACCCAATTTCCTAAGTCCATTATCTGTTAATACTCAATTTAAATCACTGCCATCACCATCATCCCTTTAGCACTGCTCTTGCCCACCTAGCAGTTAAAAATAAGCGCCTGTGTTAGTAGACGATCATGGGTCGCATCCAGGGGGGGGGGGAAATGAGTTAGAAAACTCCATTCCTTGAATGTCATTTCCCGTGTAAGGATAAAACACTTCAGCCCAGTGTATGAGAAACTCCAGTACCTGCTGAAAATAACCAAGTGTTGAGTGGAAAGTTCGAATTCTGCTCTGGATTGATATAGGCGAGAAACTGAAAAAAAAAATAATAATGACCACTTACATTCTGAGCATCGGTGTTGGATCCCGCCTCGACCAGGATCCTCACCATATCTGTGTCCTTCTTCCTGCAGGCTATATGTAGGGCTGTGTCTCGGGTGTTCCCACGGACTGCCTTCACTTGGTCGGAGCCGTGGTGGAAGACCAGCTCCCGTACCAGCCCTTGGTGGCTTGCCTCCACCGCCAGGAAGAGTGGAATGTCGCCGCGCTGTGGATAGAACAGATTAACTGTTGGGATGTCGATGCTGGGGCAGCATGTTAGCTTAGAGATTTAGCGCTTTCTAAGCTTAATATTGCGTGGGGTATGTATCACGTTATAGCTAGGAAAAGAAACATAGGTGTTTTAGATTATTATCGGCAAGCGCTAAGCCCGTAGGGATTATACAGCGCCTAGCGGGGGGGGGGGGAGATGGAAAGCAATCTGGCTCAGTTCAGGGAACTGGAGCACAGATCCAATTCCCAAGCTCAAGAGCCCCTCACCAGAGACAAGGAACCTCCCCTGAGTGGATAGATTAACTTAGGGATGTACTGCTTCGTAGGACGGACAACAAACTAGCTACGAGATATCAAGTTAGCTGTGGAATCGAGTTACTAGCTGAGAAAGCTAAGGACCTACCAGTTCACGAAGCTGCGGATCAAGTTATGAAGGATAAAGAGTTACAAGAAAAAAGTTGCACTCTGTAAATCAAGAACAATGGAATGGTGAGTGAAGCAACGGGAAGATTCTTCAAGTAAGTTGCCTTGGTGTTGGTGAAGAGCTCTTCATCCAGGGAACTGGAGCTATCAAACTTGATTACATCCTATTTCCTGGTCTCAACGCGTTTACTGTTTCTTCATTGACTAAATAACAATAATGATTTTATAAATTACTTATAAATACGCGGTTATTGAATATTTAATTGAGATATAGCTGATGGATGAGTTGTGTTTGTGCAGCTGTTTGTTGAAGAGAGAAACAGAAAGTGTTTGTGTGTCATTTGTGGTGTTTGATATGTGAACTGCGGTGTTTTAATTGCTGTCTGTCAAAGGCTATTGTTAATACACACTAGGTTTTTTTTAAGTGTGTGTGTGTGTGTGTGTGTGTGTGTGTGTGTGTGTGTGTGTGTGTGTGTGTGTGTGTGTGTGTGTGTGTGTGTACGTGGGTGTGTGTGTGTGTGTGTGTGTGTGTGTGTGTGTGTCTCCTCCTCCCCAGTGAGTGTTCGTGCTGATGAACAAGCCAGGAAGGTAAAATATGAGGTAATGAGAGGGAGGTGTTCAGTGTTACTAAGAATAAAGAGAACTAAATCAGTGTTCGTACTCGAGTCATTTCAAGTAGCAGCAGTGTACTCAAGGTCGACATATTATTGGTAGTATGCATGAACACGGGCTACTTCTTGAAGGGTTATATAGCACTAACAGCCTGGTTGATCAGGTCCTGATCCACCGCGAGACCTGGTCATGGACCGGGCCACGGGGGCGTTGACTCCCGAAATACTCTCTAGGTATACTCTAGGTATACTCCAAGTATACTCCAGGTAAGGTGATAGGTAAAGGTAGCCAGAAAACCAGTGTACTTGAGTAATATTCATTTATCTAAGGATGAGTAATATACGTCATCTAGACACTATGTATTGTTCATTAGGTATCCCGGAGTATTTTTTTCTTAGGTATCTTCAATGGAGCAAGTTTAGTAGCTGCCCGAATTATCTTCTTAATCCTCGTTTATCGTTTACATCTTGAAAACGCCTCAACCTATCGGCTTCAGATTTTAAACGTTGATAGAGTATAAATAAGAGAAGGTTCATACAACTATTGGTTCGTGCAGATGTTCTTCCCCCAGTTTCACATCCACTATTCTCAATTTTGATTTTCTCGCAGTAACATAATGACTCCTCAGATCGACTTCAAATCTTAATCTGGTGTATCTTGCATGATAAAATTTTCGATTGATGTAGGGCTGGGTAAGTAACAATTTACAAATTTTATCGATGAAGTTGGGAAAAATTAAACACTGGTTTTCTTGCAATAATTTGTGACTGCCTAATTCGATCGGCATCAAACCTTCAGTACCGATAAATTGAGACTGCAGCGTCCGAGCGATTTCAAATTTAGTGTGCTTGTATATCTGAAATATTGCTTTCCGTTTAATAGCTAGAGAAAGTATTTTCCGATGGGCTTGAAACTTTCAAAGCTGGTTTATCTTAGTGGAAGGTTCGAACTGGTTTTAGCTGCGTAAGTTCCTGTCTTGAGGTAGAGAGGGTTGGGCTTCAGAAAACACGGGGATACCTTTCCCACATCGTGCATCGACGCGGGTTAGATTTGAATTGCAACCCATTTTAGAATGAATTCTGCCACATGCAGTGGCTGGATTTGATGAAATAACTTTAAAAACAAGCCTGGTGCTCCGGGGAATGGGGAAACATCGTCTAGCTTCGGCAAGGCGCCCATACTTATCTGGGGTCTGGCTTCGTGGTAAAGTACTGTGTACTCTGATGCAGAGTTTGCGGGTTCGAGTCCTGCTGTGGACGTATTTCTTGTATATGAAAACTTGAGAGCGAAAACTCGTTAATTAGAGGCATTGATATTTTATTCTTCAGGTATATATATATATATATATATATATATATATATATATATATATATATATATATATATATATATATATATATATATAATATCTCAAAAGCATGTTGTATCCACGATGGTTGTATAGTATACTTTTTTCTTGGAACTTGAAGGTAATTTCAGAGAGTTTATTTTTGTCAAGCTTATACACCACCACCAAGACCACTTACACATCACTGCTATCACCACCACCACCACCACCACCACCACCACCACCAAGGCCACGCTAACACCATATTAAAGTATTAAGTGTCAAGAGGACTTCGTGTGTCACAATCACAGAAGTCAAATTAACATAACACTCTTGCGGCAGGGGCTTCGAGGAGCCACCCCGACATTCCTGGTAGCAAGAATTGGTTCGAAGGAAGCAAGGTACCCTGGAGCAGAGTGATTTACGACATCAACAGGGTGTGGACTGCCTCCCAGGGGAATTCTCAACCCCAGGCTATACCTGGTGATTATAGACATGGGGTTGCAGGGAGACTCAAGTCCTGACTCCTGCCTAAATTAGAATAAGTCCACCCCTCCTCTTCCTCCTCCTCTTCGTCTTCTTCTTCTTCTGAAAGAACAGAAAGACACAGTACCTGACTGGAACAGAGAAACGCTTACGACGACGTTTCGGTCCGACTTGGACCACTTGCATGTGTGATCTTGTAAATGGTCCAAGTCGGACCGAAACGTTGTCGTAAGCCCCTCTCTCCTATGTACTGGTTATTTGTGTAACCGTCGTCTTCTTTTTTTTGCTCCTCTTCCTCCTACTTCCTCTTTGCTCTCTGGTTTGCCCTTCAGTCCTCCCAACACGCCTCTCGCTGTATTGGATTCTTGCGCGTTACTCTGAAGTGTGAACCATCGTGCGCACTGCCAGCTGGCCTTGAGGGACCCACCGGGTGAGGTCACATTTGAGGAATGCAAAAAAAAAAAAAAAAAAATAGGGTTGAAATAGAGCTTGAGACCTTTTGAGTCTTTAATGTAATGCTAATTAGAAGCTTATGGGTACAGATATTAGGTGAGATTTACTATGGGAGTGTTGACAGATTCTTTGCTACACCGATTGTATACATTTAAAATTCATAGCGAGTTACTAGGTTCGAACCTGCATTCTGGAGGTTCTGCAATTACCAGGTTCGGCAGTGTCGCCGCAACTGCACTACAGAGAGTCATTCTAGGACCGCCAGACAGCAGGGTAGGTCTAGGACCGCCAGATAGCAAGGTAGGTCTAGGACCGCCAAACAGCAGGGTAGGTCCTCGTCACTCCACCGGAATTATACAGTCGTTTCTTACGAATTTTTAGCACATATACAAACCATTTGTTTCACTGTCGTAAATGTAAAAATAGTGAAATAGAATCATTGCACGTCTGGTAGTGAAGGTTTATATGTTCGAACGTACATAAGCCAGAAGTAGTATCGGGAGTATGGTCCAGCAGGGAGTAAGGTCAAACAGGGAGCACACGCTCTGGGGACTGCTCAGATCGAACCCGATTACCTCCCATTCTCATGGCGCTGTATGACTCTTAAGGGGGTAAGTGCTTCCCCACGAATATAATGTAAACTCTCAGCCGTGATATACGCTTTACATATACTCATTCCCTCTGTTTTCAGCACTCAGATGGTCCAGTAGGTAAAGCGTTCGTGTGCTTGCTGAAACTATACAATGCTTCCTGAAAATCTAGGTTAATAATACAAGCTACAACAGCTTGGCCAGATCGTACACTTGTGTGGCTAATTTACCAATGTTAGACAAGGGCAAAGTGTGGGTACTTGTTATTTTCGCAATTCCGTACTTGACCTCTTTGCAGGACAAAATAAATATGTTTTGCCATACATTAATCTAAATCAGGTCAAGGGGCAATAATTGCCAAGTTCTGTCCTTGAATTAAGTACTGAAAATCGTAAATCATAATTACAACGGTTATTTTCTTTTATCTAGGAATAGATTATGGCCACATTTGGTGTGGCCAGTACTTACTAGTTTTCACACAGCGTTATGTGTGTGTGTGTGTGTGTTAATGATTTCTAACTTTGGCAAAACACTTATATTTAGAGTGTTTGGATTTCGAAGTGCTATATGGATTCATTTTCTGAGTCTGTGAGAAGAAGTATTTTCAAAGTTGCAGCAAATTTACGTGCCAAACTTTTTCGTACATTATCTAACTACACGCTCTGATGCACCTTTAAGTCCACAAAATACATTTCCGACATCCTCCATATTATTAATTTTTTTCACCCTTGCCCACTTTTTTTCTCAACACGAGGCTGGTTCCAAACTTTCTAGGACTGGGATAGATACTATATCCCTAGAAGAATGAAAAACCAAAGTACACACGAAAACAATTTATAAGATGCTTAGGAACATAGTAGATAGGGATAAACTATTTGAGAGGAAAGAGAATTGAGGGGGATGCAAGTGGAAACCGACTGTAAATACATATGAACCAAAGGTGTGATAGAAAGAATTCCTTTGGTGTCAAGTGTAATGAACAATTAGCAAGCGATTAGACAGTAGGTAGGAAAGCAGAGGATGCTAACTCAAGGCATTAATTTAAAAGAAGATACAAAAATAAAAGAAGCTGAATATGGTATGGAGTAAGTACCACCACTTTATCAAAGATCTGAGATACGTAGGTAGATACGCTGGTAAAAAAAAAAAACTGCGCCCCCCCCCCACACACACACACGGCCAGGAGCTCGGACTCGACCCCGCAACCTCAACTAGGTGAGTACACACACACACACACACACACACACACACACACACCACACACACACACACACACACACACACACACACACACAAAATAATGCATATAGACTCAGGCTATATAAAAAAACTGGATATATAATAATTACACAGGATATATATGATAACCCCGGATATATAATGACCCAGGACATATAATAACCCAAATTATATAATGACCCAGGATATATGGCCAAGGATATATAATGACTCAGGATATATAATGACCCAGGATATATAATGACCCAGGATATATAATGACCCAGGATATATAATGACCTCAGGTCTATACCGATGAACCACTCAGTTGAATTTATGTGCTAATTTCCAATCCATTATTTTTCCCCTTGTGCCCCCCCTTACCCCCATTCACTAACTCTCCTTCCCGATTCCCCTTCCTGTGTGCGTTACATAATGGCTTCCATCAAGGGATTCATACATGAGAGTAACACGCGAATGTAATCTAATTCCTCACACCCTTCCCAACTCCCACTTGCTACTGGAAAGGGGCATCACGTGTAAGGTGACTTGCTCATACGCTGCACCCAGCCCAGGAGTCAAACCCAGGTCCTTTCGATTGTGAGCTACTGGTCCGTACCCAACTCAAGAAGTAAAAGAAACACTTTCACAATTATTCAGTCACTGTCTTACCAGCAGAAGTGTGCAGACGTCATGGATCGTACACAAACCCCTCATGACCACCTCCCCCCAATCTTACCCCAGACGACCCCCTACCCCTCCTTCCTTGATCCCCTGATTTATTCACCCCCTAGTCATCTAAGTTTTCCCCATACTCTCTAAATGTCCAAACCACCTCAGCAACCCCTCCTGAACCCTCTGAATAATATTTTTGGTAACCCCACACCTTTCAAACCTCCAAATTACGAGATTTTTGCATTATATTCACACCACATATTGTCCTGTGAAAGGACACCTGCACTGTCCCCATCCTCTTCGCTGCAACGTTCAAAACCCATGTTTCACACCCATATAGGAGTGTTGGCACAACTATCCGCTGGTCATACCATTTCTTACCTCCATGGTTAAAGCTCCGTCTCCACAGATGTCTCAGCCCACCCACCTTTTCCCCCTTGTCAGTTCTATATGATATACCTCATCTTTCACACGCCCGTTCGTCGACCAGTTCACTCCCAAATCTCTGAACACACACACACACATTATATATATATATATATATATATATATATATATTATATATATATATATATATATATATATATATATATATATAATATACATTATACTACAAGATTATATTTAAGTACATGCACGAGTAGAGTGGAGGTACTTACACTGTCCTTAACGAGTCTGAGGTCCTGTTTAGCGTGCATCAGAACAGTCTTTATGAGAGCCACTGCTGCTCCAGTACTCCGATTGGCCACCAAGTGTGCTGCTGTCTGCTCCCGGGGCTACAACACACAGGTGGAGAACATGTTAATGTCGGGTAAAGGTCAAATTAACGTGCTGGTCTCAGAGAGACAAAACTGTAGTGTACACGACTGGCTGTTTTGACAAGGAAGGGGCAGCCTGGTGCTGGTGAAGGGTATTTAATTCCCGGAACAAGAGCTACTCTCCGGTTCTTGTGATCAAAGAATATTCCGTGCTTTTCAACCAGGACCTTCCCCATTTATCTGATAAATACAGAATAAAATAACCAACTATTTTCCCTGAACAGAAATGAGGTAGCAATTTGCCTTTAATAGCTCTTCAAATTTATAAGAAAATGTCATCTGGGCGTTCATTAAACTCAATATAAAAAAAATTACTATTAAGAGAAACCATTAAATAACCGTCATAAATTTTGCTGTTAAAAAAATAAGCCCTATAGCTTATCTATCCAATATATATATATATATATATATATTATATATATATATATATATATATATATATATATATATATACTATTATATATATATATATATATATATATATATATATATATATATATATATATATATATATATATATATATATATTATGTTTGATTAATATCTAATAACAGAAAAAAAGAAATGGCTGATTATTTTCATATCTAATATCAGCATTACTAATTAGCATAGGATAACGTTTAAGCATAATGTAAATGCAGCGGCAGCACCTGATTGCGACTCAGAGGATAAAAGTAACATGTGAAGATAAAACATGGTGATAAAATATAATGAAAAAATGGAGATGTAACCTGGTGATTAAACATGGATGATGAAATATGGATGGTAAACATTTTAGACGAAACGATGTAACCAGCAAATAAATGCAAGTTTAGAGTACTCTTGTGTGTGATCGAAAAGTCTAATAAATAGGAATGTGGAAAGTACTCTATGAAAACTCAAAGGCTTCTTGTGAGCTAGGAGATACCTGGAGGACAAATGAAAGAGGAACTTGAAGAATATTCCCTCCAAGATCATTTCTAACCTTGATAAAGACCTGAATGATGGAAGTGAAATCTAAGTGGTACATTAGTAAGATTCTTGAGCCTCCAGGATCTATATTAAATTCTGGAAGATGCTGAAAATGGTAATTTGGAAAGGAGAAAGATCGCATATACCTCGGAAAACAATATGACTTTCCAGAGGTGGTTGAAAGTGATCGAAAATGGTATCAAAAGGATTTCACAAGAGCATAGAAAAAGAAAGAAAATTATAAAAAAAAAAAAGAAAGGTGTTAAGGTGAAAGGAATGGATAAATTAAAAAGCATTCATATTTCCCCATAATGCATCAGGAAACTAAAGTGTCTTAGAGGTGAGAAACATTACATATATATATATATAATATATATATATATTATATATATATATATATATATATATATATATATATATATATATATATATATATATATATATGTCGTGCCGAATAGGCAGAACTTGCCATCTTGGCTTAAATAGCAACGTTCATCTTGCCATATAGGGCAAGTGAAAATTTGTGTATGCAATAATTTCGCCAAAATCATTCTGAACCTAACGAAAAAAATATATTTCACTGTGCTTGTTTAGTATTAAATTATTGTAAACAAATCTAAAATATATTTAGTTGGGTTAGGCTAAAATAAATTGTTCTTGTTATAATAAGGTTAGGTAAGTTTTCTAAGTTCCTTTTGGTGCAAAATTATAAATTTTTACATAAACATTAATGAAAAAATTGTATCTTTAAACGTATAAGAGAAAATTTTAGAAAGGACTTAATTTTAAATGAGTTCTTGCTAATTGACCAGTTTTACATATTCGGCACGACATATATATATATATATATATATATATATATATATATATATATATATATATATATATATATAAAATGTAATGCAGGATCCTTCACAAAACCGTGGGAAGGCATGGGGGTGCAAGAGAATGCAACAAGCTTTAAGGAACCTCAATGACCCTCTTAAAGGTTCGGTGGATGTAGAGTGATGAAAGTAAACCTGAGTGAGATGCAGGGAGGAATAAGCATCACCTTAACAGTGACGCTTAAGACGGCGTTAAAGATGTAAACAAACAACAGACAAAGAAAACTATATTTCAAGCAAAGATGAGCTGCCAGCTTTATCATGGTTGTATTTTAAGCGAAGATAAACTATTAGTTTAAACACACAGCTTAAATACAAGCAGCTTTAGCATGGTTAAAGTTATGTATACACACACACTGTGATGTATATACAGTGTAAATACACTGGGTGAAGCATGCAAACAAAGTAATTTACAAGCGTCGAGGTTGTTGAAAAGTCATGAACAACGAACAACGCACCATAAGCTTCAGTGATCTGTTTAGTGCAGTAAACACTGAGTTTTAGAGTAAAGGTTTATATGCTGATTTATATTGTAAGGTATCTAACCATATTCTGATTTATATTGTTAGGTATCTAAGCATATTCTGATTTATATTGTAAGGTTTCTAAGCATATTCTGATTTATATTGTAAGGTTTCTAAGCATATTCTGATTTATATTGTAAGGTTTCTAAGCATATTCTGATTTATATTGTAAAGTTTCTAAGCATATTCTGATTTATATTGTAAGGTTTCTAAGCATATTCTGACTTTTACTGTAAGGTTTCTAAGCATATTCATTGTTCGTGCTTGCAGGTTCTCGACTCTGTTCTCTCTCCATCAAACTAAAAAAAGTTTGTTAAAATATATTTTTATCTTTAGTGGCAACTACATCTAATCTCCACGAGCAGAAAAAAAAACTTTGAGCCCAGAATTAATGAGCATAGAATCTATTAGCAAAAGTGATGGATAAGAGAATAGTACAAGTGCCGTCATATATAAAAAAAAAAATCTTAGAATATGCTTATTCTAAGTATTACTTTCTATTTATCAAACAATAACGTTGATCAATAAGTAAATAACTAAAAGATGATAGTTATTATGATGTATAATAAAACTGAATTTTGACGGAAAATTAATAACGTAATTTCGGGAAAAAAGTATCAGTGGTTTTTAACTCGTTTTTGTACTAACGAGTAACGACTGCACCAACATCAGCGAAGCTACGCCAACACAATCTCTTAACATGCGTATTATGATGGAGATGAAAACTGGTTTTGCATATCAGTCTGGACGTGTTGAACGTAAATCTTAGACTGACTTCTTACACAGTATGTGGATGTCTGGTACTAAATTTGCTACTTTGCATAAAGGGGATCACCAGAAGATTAGCCCCGAGGAAGACAATGAGATACCTATGCAATTTTTTTAATGTTTTTATAACGCTGTAACTTAACCTAATTTTCCTAAGGTTACTTTAAAAGCTATCTAAGAGTTTGCATAACTATGTATCACTGTTTTCCTTTTGGTGGAGACGAATTTTTCCGGTGATCCGCGCTGGGTTACTCAAAGCAAGTTTGTAAAACACATCTGCTCATGCACGTAGTCTATGAGAGTAATATATATGGATTAAATTAACAGATCACAACTAACCCACAGACTGGAGAAGGAACTAGATGATGTTCACTTCAGTCTTAAACAGTTATCTAGTTACAATTTGTGGGTCAGTTGCGTATTGTTCCAGCATTGTGGGTTGTGAATTGTTCCAGCCAATATATTGTGGGTTAGTTGTGAATTGTTCCAGCCAATATATTGTGGGTTAGTTGTGAATTGTTCCAGCCACAGCACTGTGACTTTAAATCAACGGATTATACAGAGCTACCACACCTACTCTATAGATGTTGGCAAAAAAAAAAACATTGATTTAAACTAACTACCTAACACACACTGCCGCCACACGGAGGCAGTTTGTGGCTTGCGTACAGCGAGGATAAAAAAATTGTTTTCCTGTAATCAGGTTATAAAAAATAGTCAAAAACAAACACACACACAAAAAAACGACAGGTTCTACCCCAGCTCCCTGCAAAATCTGGAGTGGGAAAAAAAGAACGATGCGTCAAAATACCACCAGACCACGCTAAAAAAAAAAGTTTTAGCCACATAAAAAAAACAGGTGTTATCTACCATTAAAAAAAATTCAATTAGGCAAATTTTTTCGAGCTAGCAATCTACCTTGCCAAGGAAAAAACTATGGTCTAAAAAATCTACAATTTTAGCTATAAAAAATGTAGCGTCCTTGAGCTTTCTGGTAATTAGCAGACGTGACGCTGCCTGTGTGTCCACACCCTCATGTATTTCTGTGTCCAACAACAGAGCTTTTTTTGGCCAAGCATATGACATAACGTGTCCAAATCTGTTTATTATTTTGGAGGGGTCATGATGAGTTAGATGAATGGATGAGTGAGGAGGAAGCGCGCTTGCGCTCACACTCATACACACAAACATAGGTGGTAGAGATTACAAGCGAAGAATAACACAGATATATACGTCGTTGAGAGTGGTGTTCGAGGCTCGCTTTTCGTCACTGACGTTGGAGGACCTTTTGTCAAGCGGTGCCCGGCCCATGAACTTGCGCGCAGTTTGCGCCCGCTCACAAACCATATGAATTGTCGTTTGTTGGTGAGGCTGCAAAGAAGAGGCGTCAAAGAAACCTTGAGACGCGAGAAGATACTGTACAAAGAGTCGCTACGAAAGTTCTAACACAGGATACATACACCAAGATGTGCATATTTCTTCGTATATACACCGAGAGGTGTATATATCTCAGTGTATATACAAACTGAGATTTAACTTTAATCCCTATTTTAGGGATTAGAGTATTCTTGATTGTTAGTAATAGGCGAATTGCAGCTTTAATGACCCACGTACAGTTAATACGGTTTTACAGCTAACAAGCTAAACTTCTAACTAAAAAATAATAGAGAACTCTAATCTAGGGAGATGGCTTCTAGATGGGATCAGATAGTTCACTATTTCCAAAGTAGAACACATAGGCACACGTCCGCTTCGGTTAAACAGGTGATACAAACATTAATAACACGGACGACAACCGAAGCATCTACCAGCAACACTGTCCACTGCTACT